AGCCATAAAGAATGAGAAAATAGATTCATTCATAGGAAAATGGATACATATTGAAGATATACTCCTAAGTGAAATAAATAAGGCATACATTTGTAAATACTGAATAGTTTCTCTGGTGTGAATAATCTGCAATAATACATAGGATCCTAATAAGATTACTGAATTGAGAAATGGGAAGAAAGGAGCTAAAGGTGTAGGGAAGGTGGGACGGGTAGGGGAAGGGTAAAAAAGGAAAAGAAAAAAATGTGAGATAATGAAAAGATGGAAATAAAGTGTTTGTAGATGGGGAGGGGAGGAGGGGGTGAAGGGAGGGCAGGGACAAGGGGACAAAATTAGAACCAAGACCTGTCATGTAGAGGTACAAGATCCCAACAATTAATGTAACTGTACTGTATCCCTAAAATGTACCAATAAACTCAATTAAAGCTGGAAAGAAAAAGAATCTGTACACTAAAGCAGACATAAAAATAGGAAATTAAAAAGATGTGAAGGGAAAGGAAACATAGGGTGAATATTTATTATATGTACTATAAATGGAGAGAAGGGTAGAAAATTAAAGTATAAATAAAACAAAACCATATGTAGGCACACTAAAGCAAAACTATCTAAAAGTGACAAATTTTTGAAAATCATAGATTTTTTGACAGTCATTAAATCCATTTTATTTTATTGAAATCTAAATTCAAAGGGGCAGAGTACTGATAAGGCAACCATAAAAAAGAGGAATGAAGTAGCTGGATTTTCCCTACCAAAAATAATTAGAAAAACCTTAAATACTAAGATATTTTATTACTGATGTTAAAAAGGACAACTGCAGCTATTTTGTAAAAATAGAGGATGCACAAGCTAATATGTATATTGTCACTAGATTAATAACAATGGAGGCAATCAATTCAGTGGACAGAGAAAGGAATTTTCAATTAGAATGGGTAAGAAAAATGGAAATTCATACCAGGCAGAACATTCAATTTCAGATTGACTGTAGAGTAACTATTAAAAGGAAAATAGTTTTTAGGAGTAATCAGTTTGAGCTGGTGAGGGGAAGTGGGATCATATTTGCAATGGTGACTCTCAATGGAAGGGGACACATTAAATTTTCACTTTTTAAAAACATCCAATTATTCTACAGGCAAAATTAAGCTATGTCCGAAGCATATCATTTTTTATTAACTACTCAAAAGAATCCCATGTCTATGGAAAAATTCTGACCAGAACAAATAAAGTGCATACAAGTTTCAAACGCATATTATTCATATATATGATACTCATACACATGATCTGCTCATTTAACGTTGATAGCCAGAATATTGCTAACAAAATCATACTAGCTTCTGCGAAGTACCAGAATGGATGTCCCTGAAGGAGCAAAATTCAAGGCAGCTTGAGGAGTGTCACAAAACAACAGAGTGACAGACATTGAATTAAAAATCAACACTTGCATGATCATTAACACATTACTAGAATAAAATGTGTTTCATTTTATTTTTCTTACGTGTAAAACACAGATGTGGGTGGATAAGTATATAGCATCTGTTCTTGCTTCCACTGAATTAGAAAAAGGAGGTGGCACTTTCTGCTATTCAACAACAAAAAGAATTCTATTCTCATAAAAATCATTGGGGGAAACTGATGATTTAAAGACAAAACAGAATTTATTTCTAACCTGACACTTCACACCACTTAAAAGTTTATAAATGACTATTTTCATCTAAATCTCTCTCTGGACACAATGTGCACTCAAAGATTACCTCCCTGCTGCCGTTTGCTTTTTCAGCTGCCTTTCAAATGTCCACTCCCTGAAGCATGCATCACGTTTCCCATTATGTCTGGACCCCCGGGAAGTATATTCCAGATTCCTTCTTAGTTTCAGCAAGTTAGCCACCCCTTTCAAATTCTTCCCGTCCCCCACCAATCTTCGTTAACAGCATTTTCTCTCTCATGGATATATTTCTTACAGAAAAGCTTGCATTTCTTCTCTATCTAAAATGAAAACTCTTTGCTGGGCATGGTGGGACTAGTCTGTATTCCCAGAACTCTGGGATGCTGAGGCAGAAGGATTGGAAATGCAAACCTAGTTTTGGCATCTCGGTGACTTAGCTAGACCCTCTCTTGGAATAAAAAAGGAGAAGAGAAAGGGGAAGCGGAAGGGGAAAAGGAAGGAGGAGGAGGAGGAGAACAAGGAGGAGGAGAAAAGAAGAAAAGTACTGGGTATTTAGCTCATCATAAAGGCTCTGAGTTCAATTTCGGGGACCAGAAAAAAAAATTAAGAGTAATGCAGCACCAAAGATTTACCTGTCATAGCTAGGGCTCTGCTCACTCTTGTTTTAAACATCTTGACACTACTCTATGTCTTCTTTTGAGATACTATTTGCTACGCTAGTCTAAAGGCTTAGCTTTAAAATCTATAACTCTCGTCAAGTCCAGATTCGTACCTTTCTGTCCAGTAAGGCAAAAATTCCACGTGTGTCAGCAGAAGTCAGCCAGGAGGATATAATTTCACTCTGAAGTTATTATAGGTACCAGTAGCATTAAAGCTTGCACATGAACATCTCATGATATTCCCCTTCTATGAGGTAACATTTCGACTGCCATTATGGAAACCATGGCGAGGAAGCTCTCCCCTCACTTTCATTTTCTTGACTTAATCCAAAGTACAGCTCAAAACTGTATCTTTCTTTTTCATTAAGTTTATTGGTACTTTCTAGGTATGCAGTACAGTCACATCCATCATTAGGATCTGATACCTTTACCTGATGTATCTTGGTTCTTATTTTCCCCCATATCCCTGCCCTCCTTTCACCTTCTCCATGCTTCTCTATTTACAAAAACTTTGTTTCCAATTTTCCCTTCTTTCCTTTCCCCTACCCTTCCCACTTCCTCTACTCCTTTAGTAGGTTTTTACTTCCTATTTTACATCATCAGTTATACCATTTGGATCTTATTTACACTTCTACTTTTTCACACCAGAGAAACTATTTGGTATTTGCATGTGTTTCCTATTAATTTCACTTAAGAGTATGGCCTCCATGTGCATCCATTTAGCTATAAATGACTCTAGTTTCTCATTCTTTATGGCTGAGTAGGACTTCATTTGATAGAAAAGACACATCTTATTTATCCAGTCTCCCATTGATGGGAGGATGGGCTGTTTCCAAGTCTTAGCTCTTACAAACTGTGCCGCTGTAAACATGGGTGTGCATATATCACTGTGGTATGATTCTTTTAATTCTCTTGGAAAGATACCCAGCAGAGGGATGGCTGGGTCAAATGGGGCCTCTACTCCTAATTTTCAGAACTGTGTCTTAATCCCCAAATCCCAGATGACTGCTCAAAATGTAACCAAGATATTGATGGGAGGTGAGTGGAGGACTGGACATGTGCTCAAAATGAACCACAAGGAAACACTGGAAGCCTCGAGGGAGTCATGGATTCCACAAAGGAATCTCCTGGAGACAAAGCAGAGGGGTAACATTTAACACCAATATAAACAAGCTACTCTTAAAATTTCCCCTCTAGGTGCTGTTATTCCTCAAAGACCCCGCTGGGTTAAACTGTCAGTTTATTTCTTTCCCTCTGACTTCTCTAGCATTTCCTCAAATCACACTTCACAGTGACACCTTTCACAAACACCACCTCCACACTAGTGGCTGGAGGGATGTTTAGGACATTTGGATTCTGCCTTCTTTGCATGAAGAGTAATATCATCAGGACATTGGGGCTTCTATAGGTCCCTCTCCAGTGCTATTGACTTGAATGTTCTCCTTGTTTTTCATTATATCATGAACTTGATCAAGGTTTTGATCGCTTTCATAGTGGAAGTTTTTTTTTGTTTTGTTTTTTCTTGTTTTTTTGAGACAGGGTCTCACTATGTAGTTGAGACTGACCTGGAAATCACTATGTAGCTCAGGCTGGTCTCGAGCTCACAGATATCCTCCTGCCTCAGCCTCCCCAGTGCTCGGATTACAGGTGTGCACCACCACACCCGGCCTCCTAGTAGAAGTTATTTTAAAAATCTAGTATGGCTAAAGTATAGTGGTTCTTTATGAATTCTGAAAACAAGTATAAATTGCATAGAAATTTACACATGAGACACCCGGCCTCCTAGTAGAAGTTATTTTAAAAATCTAGTATGGCTTAAAGTATAGTGGTTCTTTATGAATTCTGAAAACAAGTATAAATTGCATAGAAATTTACACATGGTATATTTATTGCAGCTATAAGTAATATTTTATTCACATAAAATGGACAGACAGCTAAGCGAAAGTTCCACAGGTTTTGAAATATTTCTTGAAATGTTTAGGCTCCTCTTTTAAAATATTAAAAAAAATTCTTTTAAGTAACCATTTATACAGGTGTTCCTTTGTGGAGATAGGCTATGAAAGTGATGTAGTGTAATATCTATGTAACTACACATTTTCTATGGGTAAAATTAAAACACATAAGTGGATGATATTAATTATGTTTTATAACATGTTTCTATATGTAAAGTTAAAATATATAAGTGGGTGACATTAATTATTATGTTTTATAAATCTCCTTTTCCATTCCTTAAGAGTATATAATATTACAAACACTTTACTAGGGAGGATAGTAAACCCTAAACAACAATAAATGCTTGCTTGCATTTTACCCTGATCAGTGACATTATTATGATTTGAACATTTTGCTTACATCTGTCAGATGTTCAAAAGTTGGTTTAGCTGTTTGAAGCATAAGTTTCTGCGTCACTTCATCTAATTCTAGAAAAAAAAATTAAAAAAATAAGGGTATCATTGAAAACATTTTTAAAGGTAAACAAAAGCTAGAGAAGTTGCTAATCTTATCTTTATAAGTTTAGAAAAACAGCAACCAAATTGGATTCCCCCAGGAATAAAACTGATCCATAGGCATTCTTCCAAAATTCACATTTACATAAACCAGATTATCCCAGAGAATTTTAGCATAGTTGATTCAGCCTAACTGGCACAACATCCAGGTTCATAATCAGAAATCAGAAATTATTTAGTACTTAACCTGTGGTAGATCTTGTTGCTTGGATCCTATTATAGGACTCCTACAGACATATCCTTATCCTTTGGCAAGATTGCTTTTTATGATAAAGCCTAAGAATACTAGATGATTGCTTTTCTAAGGATCTCATGCTCCTAAATACCTAATATATGATTCAAATTACCAGGCACATAATTTGTCATTTAACTGCAGGCACCTTTGAGGATAAAAAGGAAATTATCATAATTCTGACAACACAGGTACACTAGATTACTCTATACACACCTGAACAAAAGAACTCAAAAGGAAGTCTTGTGGGAAAGTATAGATTCCAGAACATAAAAGCCACCTGGTGGGGCCTAATGCTCTCTGTGTTTTAGACATAATGCGTCTTGAATACATGATCAGGTAAGAAGGAAGACTACAGTCAGTACACTGAAGTCATCTGACTAAAAGTCAGCCTCTGACATGATTAAATAGTTTCCTATGCTTACATAACATGAGTAACTTTATTACGTTAATTTTTATTTTTTATTTTTAATTAAATATTTTCTGACTTGAGCAGAAACATTCTAAATAATATGTCATAAAATTAGGACTGCACTATTTTATTTAAAACCCATTTGAATATTAGTCTAGCCTTTGTTTAGGGGGTTGAACTCAGTACCCCACACTTGCCAGGCAGGTCCAGCCCAACTGAGCTACATCCCCAGCCCCATTTTTTTTTAATTGGTACATTTTAGGTCTACAACACAGTTACATTCATCATTGGGATTTTGTACCTTTACATAACGTATCTTGGTTCTTATTTTTCCCCCACTCATCTGGCCTCCGTTCACCCTCTCCACCCACCCCTATTTACAAAGTCTTTGTTTCCATTTTTTTCCTTTTCTCTTATTTTTTCTTTTCCCTTCTTACCTTTCCCCTTCCCCTCCACCTTTAGATCTTTTCTTCCTATAACCCAGCCCCATTTTTATCATTTTTCCCTCTTAGGGTTAAAGAATCTTCGCACTTTTTTTTTCAATATTCAATAAGCAATGAATCAGCTAATATTTTAATGTAAAACTATCAGTTTATACCACACTGTACAATGTAAATAAATGTATTAATCAATCTCTGATAACCTTAAAAATCGATATTCATAAAAATCAGCAACTTAGCATTTTGAAAATTAATATTTGTTGCTCTACGTAAGAGAACTTAAAAATCAGTGCAAAGCAGAAATATTTTGCAGTTCAAACTTTTGATTATGAGTAGAATATATTAACAACTGCTAGACACAAACAAATGTACATCTAAATAGGACATAAGAAACAATGCACATTATCAGCTGATAGTCGAATGGAAAGTGAGTTGAGACCAGATGTATCGGGAACCAAGGTTGAGATCGCTGTACTCTGAGAATTAAAATGCTGTGGCTTTAGTTTCCCTGTAGTATCACGTGCTCACTTCCTCTCTCCCTCTCCTCTTTGATTTACCACCCAATAAAGGGATCCAGATTCAAGTTTACACCATGTTGCAATTCAAGAAGCTACCACTTGACTCCAGTATTTATTAAGAAATGACGCCTGATTTTTCATTAACTATACAACTATTTGTATTAGACTAAGGATATGCATTTGACCCAATCAGTTCAATTAAAGGAGCTCTCTTTCCTGAAGTCTATGAGTGGAACACAAAAAATGACGTTGTTTGGTACAAGCAGACAAACAATTCAAATTTTGTCGTGCATATTAAGTGCAGGCCCCATCCCAGACACTTTTCACGTTATGGCATGCAGGCTTCATAAATTTGGCATGAATTAGATAATCTTGTCTCACATCTGACATCTCAAAACTTTAGCAGTTAGCATTGACAAGCTTCCGGATGAAGTTTATCTGTTTAGTGAAAAGGTAAAAATGTATAATTACCTCATTCTAAGTTATAGATATGTTTCTGTTACTGTTCTTAGTTAACAGTAAGGTACAGTGAGGACTGTATGAATTTTGCTTGATTTGATGGTTGTAAAGTGTAGGAATATAATTTTGTCACAATAAATATTAACATTATTTTTCCACTTGATTTTTTACACTAACCTTGTATTATCTAGATTGTGATGCTATATTTAATAATTTAAAAAGCTTAACAATTTATATCATTGAACGAATATGCAGGTAAGTCAAAATAAGGATTCCCTTGCTGATGCACCTTAATTATTATCATTTAAATTACTTAATGTTTGAAGAGCAAAAATTTGAAAAAAAAATTCTTGGAAATGTTTACTCAGTAAACAAATTTTATATGAGATGTTGTTGTCTCATTTACCTCGAGGTGCTATGACACACAAGAATTCAAAGTGGGAAGATTTATTTCTGAATTGCAGGCAATTGATTCACAAATATTTTTCACTCCTTTTCTAACAACATTTAAACAAGCAGATATGTGTGCAGAAATACTATGTGATTTTATTTCAGAAATTATGACAATCATAAAAGAATTATTGTTTCCTTTTCTTTGTAGTTTCAGAAAGACCTCAGGAGGAGCAGCTGAAAAAGTAATGTCAGATTGATCTGCGGGATGTAACCCAAAGAGTCCTGCTGTTTGTAGGTTTTCCTAGAGAATGCCCTGAGAGTCGACATAGATTCATGAGTGCTTATGAAAGCTCTGAAATCTCAGTGATAGTGACAGAAAAGGTGTTGCGCATGCATTCATTGAACAAAAACAATTTTAAACTAAAAGTCTCTGGAAAATGACTATGCAATGTTTCTTAATTGTTCTATAAATGGTGTTGAATATCAAACTTTTTAATTTCTAAATTAATCTTATATTTCTGAAATGAACTTGTTATATAGTCATATCGGCATGCACCTTCAGTACTCCTGATCCAAAATGCTAATATTTTTCTACTGTTCTGCTTACAGGTTTATTTATGAGATTGGCCAATAATTACTTTCTCTTATAATGTCTTACTAGTTTTGTGTATAAAAATAGTGCTGGGCTAAAAAAAAAAAAAAAACATATAAAAAAATTTTTTCTACTTATTTTCTAGAAGGCTTTGGATAAGCCTGATGTTGTTTGTAAGACTTAAATATTTGTAACATTAAGAGTGAAACCAAATGAGTGACTATAGGAAATTTTTAAATTATGTATTTAATTTCTTTAATAAACACAAAATTGATCATAGTTCCTACTTTTGTGAAGACTTTCTTCAATTTCACTTTTCTAGAAGTTTGTGTATTTAATTTAAATATTCAATTAACATGAGAAAAACAAAAAATGGAAACAAAGTCTTTGAGATACGGAGGGGTGGAGGGGTTGAAGGGAGGGCAGGGGAATTGGGAAAACATAAGAACCAATATGGATTTTATAAAAGCACAAATTTCCATTGATGAACATCACTATATTGTATACCTTAAATGTAGCAATAACATGAATTAATTAAACTTATTCAAATTTGTTGACATGGTTGTTAATAGTTTTGGTTTTTAAATGTTAGTATCTGTCTGTATGTGTTCACTTTTTTATCAGATACAATAATACACCCTGATGCTTTCTGTGCCCTCTCTTTATGTGTATAAATTTCTTCAAAGCTGTATAACTTCCATTTCCCTGTTTACACTAATATTGTGATTTTTCTGATCATCACCAAGGTTGAATTGTCACTTACTATATATTGCTACCTAACTCAAGCATTTTGGAGCTGGTGAATTCTTTGATTTTAACCCTCCATTTTAATAGCTGGAAATTTTCCTCTAAGCATGCTGATTTCTATTATAAATCAAGACATTTTGATATGTAATTAGAACTTTCACTTCAACTAAGTCTACATAGATTTTTCCATTTCTGCTGTGATTTATTAATAATCCATGGATTTTTAGAAGAATTTTTCTAATTTCAAAATGATTAAACTTTTCTGATTATGCTTAATTTCTGAAATAATTGTAGAACACATTCTCAAGACTATAACCTCTAAAATTTGTTAAATGTGTTTTCTGGTATAGTATACTATCATTTTTTATAAATACAAATAAACCATTTGTCTAAATCTTATATTTTCTATTGATTGTTTTTTGGGAGATTATTTCCAAACCAAAATATTCATCCAATTTGGTTGTTTTTAGTATATTCAGAAAATTGTGCAACCACCACTACTAATGCCAGAGTGTAAGTGGCCGTGAAGATAATGTGCTTATTAGCACTTTCCCCATTTCCGCCTACCATCCACCTTAGCAAACATTAAAATATTTTATGCCTCTATGAATTTGACTGTTATAGGCATTTCATATAATTGGAAATATGTAATATGTTGGATTTATGCCTGACAGTTTTTCTTGGCCTGATTTTTCAAGGGTCATCCATGTAGTCTGTAGCATAAATTAGCTATAAATTTCTTTCACAGATGAAGTATCATACTTGTATAGCATATTCTCTGTATTCATGCATCAGCTGATAACCAATTAGGTTGTTTCCGTGTTGAGGCTGTTATGAGTAATCCTTCTCCAATTATTCACAAGATGTCTCATGTGGACATAAGCTTTCAGTTTTCTTAGGTGGACACCTAGACACGGACTTGCGCAGTAATGTAGAAACTCCACGGCTTGCTCTTTGAGGTCTGCCACACTGCTTTTCACAGCAGTCAAAGCTTCTGACTGTCCCATCACCTGTGTCCAAGTGATTCAATCTTGCTACCTTCTCACTAACACTCATTGTATTTTTTATTTTGCCATCCTAGTAGACATGAAGCGCTATTACACTGGTGTTCTGACTTGAA